CCCCCCCCCCCCCATCCCTTTTACTAAATGATTTTGTGCCCTTCCATCCTTACACTTTATTACTTCTTCAACGCTGTTGAGGCTGCCAAGGATCTTTTCGGACATTCGATCTTGCAGCACTTTTTTCTGCATTTTCTTATGAAGCAGTTTAACTTTGGGGGAGGGAGGGCTTAAAAATAAATGACTGATTTTTGACTTGATGATGATGATAATCTGATTTGCATTTTTCTATGTCTATAATAACATTACAGGAAAACTCTTAAGAGCTTATGATACCCTGTTGGAGAACTTTTAGTTTCTCCATTCATCTTAATTTTTGCCATAACTTATGTTAACAAAAGAACTGTGTTCTGATGACAGAAAGGTTGAGAGGAAAATCACTGCAGCATGTAGATTAATGTTTATTTTGGTTTAGGGAGAAGGGCATAATGGTGTGTATTTCTGACTTTTTTCCCCCAGTGTAGTTTTTTTTTTTAAACATGGAAGGTTATGTAATGCAGTGCCATTTCCAAAAATATCTGCTCTGAGGCATTACACTCCACCGTGGAAGGCTGATTCCTATTCTGCTGTCTTGATTGCAAATATACTGCCAGTAGTATGTCTGGGAACAAAGAGCAGCCAGAAAACAATCTATTTTTATCACTTGGTTTTACTTTTAAGTTGCTAAACCATTTGAACTCCTGCAATTTAAAGATGAACCAAACACTAAGAATAGCCCAGGACTCTGCAAAGCCAGGTATGAGGAATTCCTTTGTCCCCTATTTAAGCCCGTACACTGGGACAGCTTGGAAAGCTCTTTCAGAAGCACCAGTGGTTACAGTAATTTGCCATGTAACTTATCTTAACCACAAAAAATGGTTGTCCATAACCTCTAAACAGGCATTATTCATTTGCTAACCTGTGGTGAGGTGATTTGTCTACTGTATTTAAACATATTTTGCAGGTTGGTCTCCCTGGACTGAGGAGAAGGAGGTGCAAGGCCAAGACTGTTAAGACTCTCAAAATGGTAAGAATTGGTCATCAGAGAAGATTCTCAGTAGCTTCTTATCATTCTTTATTCTGTGTAAATGTCAACCACCCACCTTCATCCCAGCCTCAACCCCTCATTGTTCCTACCCCATCTGACCTTTAAAAGGGTCCCTCTCTAGCGTGTGGGAGCTTTCCAGTACAGCGATTTATATGAATTGGATCTGGTGAATGAGATCTTTTGATTTTTCAATCATTTTGAATAGAAAACTGAAATTCCTCTTTCAGAAGTACAGATTTATTTAACTTGAACAACAGAAACTGTTCTGTTTGTTCTTTAGGAAGAGTGATGTGTTGTGACATGCATGGAAGAGGTAGCACCAGTAGGGCTCAGACAAAGCAATGGATCTTAATTAGAGAAAGCCAGAACTTACCTGCAAAGTAGGCACCTATGTCCAGCTTATCAAACAGCTACAGTTTCTACTGTCTTTAAGAGCAGTATATTTGAAGAGCATGGACTTTTAATGTACTCTATTGTGCTCAAATATAATGTTATTTTCTATTGATTTATAACTTCACTTATGAGAGACATCTGCTCAGTTTTAGCATAAAGCCAGTTATCTGACAAATGAAAGTTAACAATTTCTGATGAGTATGATCCACAGAGAAGGCAGTTTAATATTTGAGGACTGATTAAAGAACAAGATGGAATACACATTAAGCAGATAAGTATATTATTAGTCTTCGATGAAAAACTTCCTCTTTGGAAATAAGGTTGAACTGAAAAAAATTGTAGAGATGTCATGAAAACTTTTCAGTCAAGCACAGCATGGCCTCTTGCAGATGTTTATGCTCTTTAAAACACCTCTTTGCCCTTAGAATGTGTGATTTCCAAATTTAGTTTTAATTTTTTCTTTTAAACTGAGGGTGGAATTTAATGAATCAAAATAGAATCTGATACACTTAATGTTTTCTTTGAGAACAACCCAAGCATAAGCTTCCAAGGAGAAAAATGAATCAGAAGCAATTAAATGAATTCAGTTTGAATCCTATTAACACAAGTAAGCTCTTTATTTTTTGTGTATGCCTCACCTGTTATCTCAACAGGTGGGTGTCAAAGCACCAAATAAAATAGCTCTTGCTACATCTTAGACTGATAACGACCAAATTAGGGAACTCAAGATAGAAGGGCCAAAGAGGTGAACAGAAAACTAAGCTAATCATTGGGTTTTGTGCAAATGATTCCTAACTTGATACTAAATTCCTAATTTGCCATTGTGATAGAGTACTAGGGTGGTAATAAAATGAACTACTGCCAGGTATTTTTGTTCATTTAATTAACTTTTACTGTGACTTGTCTCACCTTGTCTTCTAGCTCTTTATCCCAGACCCTTACCCTCTATGTCACCGTAGGTAGACCCTGAAGGTTCATGTATGTTGTAATAAGTCAGGTGACCAGTTTGGTTAAACATAAATTTGACCACTGACCCTGCAAAACTAGCCCTATAGATCACGCTCAAAGAGAAAATATCATGTTTCTGTAGTAGTGAATGGAATGAGCTTTGTGGAAGGCAAGCATGTGTGCCAAATCCGAGAGTGAAAGTTGGAACGATTTGAATGCAGAAGAACAAATTCAAATTATTATTCCATGTTGTGAATTTCTTACAGTTGTTGTGTATGTGGGGTGGCAGCATGAGAATTCACAATTTGCTGCTCTTGGAAGGATTTTTGCTCATGGAAAAATTCTCACAACTTTTTGGTGATCCTTTCATCAAGATGTCAGTCCCTTTTGGCACAAGCCCATTGCCTGAAATGAAACCACCGACAGTTATTGTCTGTGGGTGATTCCAAGTAACTTTCTAGCAATTCTCTTATTCCCAGAGGTCTGAGTTCTTAAAAGTCTTTGCACAAATTAATGTAAAAAATGTTTCCATTATGTTTTTTTCAAAAACTGGTATTAGAGATGTCTTGCACCTTCTTTTCTCCTTTTTGGCAAAATGGAGTTATTTTCTTTCCTTGATTAAAACTGGAATTACTTTGCTGCTCTCTGTAACTGTCTTACTTAGAGTAAATCTTAGTCCACATACAGTGGAAGGTATTGCTAGGGAAGCAGTAGATTTATCACCTGGGCACCTCTAGGAAATACATAAACATGACTTTTATGTTAATCATGTATTTTTATTTATATAATTCAAAACACTAAAGAGGATCTAATTCCATTGTTCTTAGTCTGTTTAGTAAAGGGTTTATTCCAAGAAACAAATTTATAATAAGCTCATTCCAGTGTTACAAATTAACTGTAGACTCCAGAATTCAAAACAGATTCATTATTTAGACATCTTACATATCCTAAAATGATAATGTTGCACAAAGATAATTTGAAGACACTCAAGAATCCTAGAGTGCCTTTTGCATTATCAAAAAAATAACAACCACTTTGTTGATTCTGTGAGCCACTAATCTCATTCTATTTTGTGTATGGGACCCCTTGTGCACAACTCCAGGGGGCGCCATTTACATATATTACAGTGCACTTGAGGTTGTGCAACTCAGAGGAGTACTGTTAAAAGTTTTAATTTTGAGTGTAGTTTCCTATATCTTAGTTAACCAGAATATTCTTTTCAAAACCTTATTCCCCAACTTTTAAAGTGTTCGAGTAAACATGTCCTTCTCCAGTTGCCTTTTTTATTTTTATTTTTTATTTTATTTTATTTTTTTGCAATTAAGATATTGTGTCTGAAGAGATCTTCAGTATTTTTTAAATTCATATTTGGCTTTTTGCTAAATTTTAATTTCAAGGATTATATTTTATATGGGTCCTTTATATTTACTTCAGTGTTTTATTTTAAAGGTACTTGCTTCAGATACATCAATAAGAAGATACTTAAGAGTGAGCAGATGGTCTTATTAAATAGTCCGAAAAAATAAATTATTTAATCCAAAGTCAATGTTCAGTCCTGAGTTTCAACATGACTGCCCTCCACGCAGTAAACCTGCCTCTGAGCATGTGTGGGCCAGGGGCTCACAGTGGCATACCCATGGGCTCATTATGTTTTAACAGAAACCTAGGAATTGGGATAATTTAAGTTCTCTCTAAGGCTGATGCTGAGCTTTTCAACAAGATGAGTTGACTCCATTGTGCTGTTCATAGAGCTCTGCTTTCTGAATAGTTAGTGAAGTGGCATTCATAGGCTACAAGGAGACTCTTTCAATAATCTCTTCATTAACAGAAGGTTTTCTTGTTTAAAGAAAAAGACAAAAATTGAAGAGGGATGAGGTCCTATCGGTAACTGTGCCCACTGGGCTTTTGGATGTAAATTTGCAAATTGCTCAGTGACTCTTGATTGGGAGATAGCACAGCCTGTCTAGGAGGGGAACTGTGAGTGGTACTGTCTTCTCTTGCCCAAGGCCTTCCAGCACAACTGGAGGGGAGGAGTGGGGAATTGTTTGGGGAACTAGGACAGCAGGGATGATCCCCCTGGGTTTAGCCCGTGGTCCAGCCTCCTCTTGAGCTGTATAAATATTGCAGGCAGGATATGGTATTTGGGCAGTCTTGGAATAAGCAGCCATTTAAACTATCATTCTATTTTAACCTGATAAAAATTTCTTAAAAACTTGTATGCAAATTTGATCATCATAAATACACTAAAAGAATTCACTGTAAGTCCTAAGATGACTGCTTCTAAAATAGGAAAATACACTTTTAAAATACGAATACTCTACTACTAAACCAAATGAGTAACCTCCAGATTAAAGTTTTATTCATTAAGTATTCCTCTATAGTGGGCTGACCAGGAGCCTTACAGTGAATTTCCGTGGCTTCCTTGGTCTTGCACATACTTTTGCTAGTGCTGTTCCTGGCTGGAAAGCCTTTTAAGGCCTTATCCTCACAGCCAAAGTGAAATGGAAGGTTTAGAAAATTATCTGAATAATTATGGTTAAAACAAAATCAAAAACAAATGTTTATGCCAACTGATTCACCTTGTTTATTCAAAGTGTTGGTGGAATAATGTAGGAGTAGAAACCATTTGCCTGAATTATCTGTATTAATTCCTTTGTTATTCAGGTTAAGACTAAGATTAAGGAAATCTTATCAGCAAATCCAATCTGAATACATCAGAGGAAAATGAACCAAATGTCCCTGGACTATGGCATCTTGGTTGATCAAGATACATTAAAAGACTCCAATTTCAAATTGCTCCTTTGCTTTGAATTGGAAAACTAGTTAACATAAATCTCAGCCCACATCTGTAGAAATTATAGTTGCTAAAAGTATCATTTTTTGGGTCTAAATTTATCTGAAATGGATATTTCTAAACATATTTTACACCTTCAAGAATTTCTCATCTCAGTAGTTTAAAGAATAGCAGTGATCCTGAAATTGATCCACTAGTGCATGAGGAGTATTAGCAGCTCTAATTGTTTGGGATCCAAACCTTAGCATGACTCTTGACTAAATTCGAAATAGCAATTCAGTTACTGTAGCAACGGCATAGTATTAACCCAGTAGAGCAGTAGATTAATCTCTTGCATTATTCGTTTGTTAGATCATATGCATTTCTTTCATTAACCAACTAAATTATCAGTTTCCAGAAGGTTATAAACTTCATATACAGTGTTTAATAAAGTATTAAATATATGTTAGAAGCTCAATAAATATTTGATCTATGCATGCTAATATCTGTTAAGTTGAACTTTAAAAAAAATTAATCCTTAATGACTTAATCATCTTTAGTTTTGGTGAGCTGGAAGACATTTGTATTCTTACCTTCTAAAAGGCTAGGAAGTTGAAATGAATGTAATTTTAGTTTTCACAGCATATTATTTTCCATTATTTATTAAAAGAAGAAAAAAAAGTTGTGGTTAAGCCGAAAGCCACTTGCCAAGAAGAGTGGCTTGCAATTGCTCGCTCTTATCAGCTTTTAGACTCCAACTCTGAGCAACATGATGAGCTGCTAGCTCTGTAAGTCTGATCCAGCTGTGGTACTCAAGGCACACAGCAACTTTTCCTGCAGCTGTATAAGTGCCCTCCAGGATCTA